CCAGCCACCCCCCATCCCAGACCGAAATGATGTTAAAACCAACAGATTCCTATAGACGCCTGCATGTGCTAAACCAGCATATTCTGACATTCCAGTCAAATATTCTAACCAAGTCTGTGCAAGCTGCATCGATTTAACTTTCATTGTCTAAAAATAGGTCCTAGCAAGATGTTGGTACCAAAAAAGCTAGAAGCAGTGGAAAGGAGGAGAAAATACTGAAGGCACATATTGATTATATTCAGTGTGAGGGAGCACTTGCCTATCTAATGCTATAATGCACAAATAAATAAACAGGTTAAGAATCCAAGCAGCACGTGAGATAAATAACTAAGTATGAACAGGGGTAAATCACACTCCCGTATCAAAGTTGTGAAAAATGCATATTGTATGTTTCGCCTGATTTTCCACCAGAATTATCAGGTTTTTATTTCAAGAGAAGTTGCGATAAGCCAGAGTTTATTCTCCATACAATGACATATTTAAATCAGACCTGGGGTTTTTTTTTGCCAGAAAACTGGCCCTTCTACTACTTCAATTAAATCCCAGTGTACTATAAATAGGTCCCTTGTCACACATACAATAAAATGGAAAGAGACACCAAATAATTAACTACTAACTAGTACAGACAGAAATGTGAAGAACCTTGCCCTGTGTAGCTAGCACTGCCTTGTAGTTTTGATTAAGCTCATGTGTTTGACTGAATCAGTGCATAATCTTTTCAACTAATTACTGTCTAGTGCCTGCCTGCTTCTAAGTTCTTTTCATTCCTTAAAAATCTGTTGTTTACAACCATTTCCTTGTTCATTTTTTGGAGAGCAAAATATAAAAGAAAGCCTTTATTCCCTGGCTTAGGTCTAGATCACATATACGAAGGAGAAGAGAGATTCTGCTACACTTTATTCAATATGATGTTACAAGAAAACAACAGTTACAGCTGACAAACCATTACATCTTTCATAATACAGACAAATTACAAGGTGTAACAAATAATGCAACATTTATTTTACTGTACTGCTTACTATGCTGTTCTTCTGAAGTATTATATATATATTTAATTACATTAACATTGTTTTCATGTACCAGCCCTCCCCTTTTTATTGGTTAAAAAAAGAACCTCTTAGTGCACCATACAAAAATCCACGTGGAAGCTGGCAAGCAGGGACTTTGTATGCAGCACCATTGAAATGCATTTTGGGGGATGGGAATTGTTAGTGCATCCTTTACTTTTAGATTTTTTGCTTATGTGAAAAATGCAAGGCAGTAACATACAGTCACTCCACCTAAATGCTGGTAGGGGAGAGTATTGTTATGCTCAGTAATGCAACGTAATTCTCTTTATATGGGGTGTCTGCATTTTGCTCCCCAGTCTGTACAGCCTAAACGTTTTATATAACAAAGATTACAAACCCAATAATATTCACAGATGAATATTTCGTATATGAGCATACCAGAGCATTGACTACACATTCGGTTGCGTGCACTGACACAGAGCACACAGGGGTGTACGTCACCCACCGGCCCACAGGGAATTTATTATCCTACCTTCTTTCCCCAGGAGTCTGAAGTGCAGAACCTCCGTGCACCAAAGAGAAAGTGAAAACCCCAGTGCCTCTGTCTACTGCAGATGGAATTTTCAGTGTTGCATGTACTGACGACTTATCCTAAACCATGGTTCTGATTAAAAACAATAGTGAGAATTAAAAGACCCAACCGATCCGGGACACCATACGGTCATGTAATGTCGGCACTATTGAGAGTGTCCTGACTGGTGCGGTGCCTGCTGGGTGTGGATTAGAGCTGATCTGAACCCAGCAGGAGAGAGGACTAAGCCATCTCCAGCTGGTTGACTTGTAAAGTCAGGTTCTGTGAACTTGAACTTGTAAGGAATCTCTGTATCGTGCAGACCATCTCTATCACCATCTTCCCTTCCTCATTCACTTAATATTACATCTCATACAGAGTTAGAACATGCCCTCCCATTTTTATCTGCCTACTACACCTGCTGCCCTGTGGCTGCTCTCCCCTCTCGCAGCAAAGCCACATCCTCTCAGTATCATCAGAAAGGATCTACTGGGGCTCAGCCAAGCGGTAGGAAAATGAAAGTTACGCTACTGCCGGCTATCGACTCCGAGCGAGTCCCACAGTTTCTCAAGGACTGTGACCCAGAGACTACTGGTCGCTTAAGCCCATTTTTTACTATTGACAGCATGAAACCACGTTCCCGGCACCCGCAGCACTTCTGGAAGGCCAGGCTACTTCTTCTTGTCCCTTTGAAGATTCTGCAGGGAACCAATTTGGGAAGGATGAGAGAAAAAGAGGGTAACACTACTGATCTTCGCTGAAGCTGTCTCAAGAGCACTGATGGGGTTTAAACAGTCCATTCCGCAACACTGAGAAGAGCTGTGGGGAAAACCCCACTTCTGCAAGGTGCTGAGAAGTGGTCTAACTGTCAGGGGGTCCTAACTGATGGGTGTCAGTCAGGCTAACCACGCAGGTAAGGGCTCTGCTGGAAGGAGGAAGAGGGAAATAAGGCTGTACTGTCAGTTCCCTGGACAAAGGTGCTTCTACTTTCTCAAAAAAAACTTGTTTCCCAGCAGATTTGATGTTCCAGAAGAATAATTTGCAGTGCTCACACGAACAGCACTAGCTTACTGAGCCCAGGAGAGAACATCCCCAGGGCCCAGAGCCTCCGTGGGAGAGCTGCAAACCCAAGTCACTGCAGGCAATTGGGGCACCTGGGAAGTAGGTGCATAAGTAAGAGATCCTGGTCACTCCTTAATTGATCGGTAGCTGAGATAACCTCACTACTGCTGAAAATCAAGTTACTATTTAGGAACCTAAGTATTTATGCACTTTCCTTCAGGTAATTGAGTTTGAAGATTTTTGGACCAACTTTATTTCAGTGGTTGCTTAAAAGTGGGAATGGGGCAGAGAAGATAATCTCACACGCACGTGTGTGTACACACACATACACACACACACACGTACCTTAAGCAAACACTGTACATGAGTCACTATGGATAGTAATGTGCTAGGCTTGTGGGAACAGTTGGGGAATTACTCTCTATATTAAAACTTCAGATGTTTAGTTGAGCAGCATAATTGCTTGCCTCCCAATTTAAGCTGCCAAGTAGATGCGTCTATGAAACTACCCTTATATTCCTAATTGAAATCTTTGTTACATTTTCAAAAATTCTTCAGGTTTTTGCAGCAAGTTTTTTTTTCTAAAAATAGCTAATTTTAATCATCAAACTGCACACGATTTAAGTAGCAAAGATAATGTATAAAAGACTTTTCTCTTACAAAAAAAAGAAACATGAAACCCAAACAAACCACGTCTAAGGCAGTTTCAGTGTGTGATAAATTCAAAAGTTCAGTGGTCACTTTTTCCCCCTCATAAACACAGGGGAAAGACTGTAGTAAGTTCTAAATAGGATTGTGACTGAAAGTGGCTTTCAGATGGCTTTTACCAGATCCTGAAACAGAGATGTCATTGGGGAAAACTGTCTTTTAATGGCTGTGCAAATATTGAGAATATTTCCACGGTTCAGCTCTTTGAAAGTGTAGACTCGTATCCTAGTTCATTAAGAGGCCTGTCGTAGCTACTTGTGCATTCAAGGATTTGCCTTATTGGGTGTTTTTTTTCTTATTAAACACTGCTGGAGTTTAATAAGATGGCAGTAGCACAAATCCTTTCCCCCTCCTTTTAAACACTGAAAGCTAACCAAAGTGTTACCACACTTCTTAAAAATGTAATTCAATGCATCCAGCAAGCAAAGGATGTCAAATTTATGTGTAGAATAATATTGCCTAGCAAGCGTTTCTGTCCAAGCAGGACTATAACTCAACAGTGGTTTTTGCACCATACCCTGCCCTCTCTGAATGCAAAGCATTGTATATGGTCAGGGCAGTTTTATCACACCCCTGAACACAATGTTCTCCCCAGTCAAAAGGTAGCAGGGGCTTCCTTTTCTAACATCACACAACTTTGTTTCTTGCAAAGTCTGCATTTGAATGATTCATTCAGAAAAGCTATCTAAAGACACAGTATCTGGTAGTGCCTTCCAATCAGCTCAGAATACCTATGGAAAATAACTTGAAAGGTGCTTTGGTGTGGAACAGCAAACAGTTTGGGATAAGGAAAGTTCTCCGCTTTGCTTTGTATGCGGCAAAGTAACACAGCTAGATTTAATGGCTCGTTCAACAAAAGTTTTTCTGTACCTTAGTATCTGCCTTGAATTAAACAGAACCGTTTCATCATCTCTGTTTTCAAGAAAACATTCCAAAAGGTAAATAGTGTGAGGAAAAACATAGACATGTTAGCCAAGACCCATAAAAGAAAGAAATATTCTTAAAGGGAAGAAAAACATAAAGAATTCATTGTATATCTGTCAGCTGCGTACATCTCATCATTTTTGCTTTGTCTTTCTCACAGGCCTATTTTGAAAACTGGCATGCTGCATAGCCTAAGCAGAGTAACCAAATTCAGAGTACTGAAGTAAACATGCAATTATTGCCATGTTTTTAAAATGGATATGAATGGTCTGAGGAGATAATGAAAAAAGAAATAACCCAACAACACTTCAGGAATAGTGGCAAGGTGCTGTAATTGTCAGCCGATCAGACAAGTTGGGCTTGCTCTGGCAGAAATAGTCTTCCCATTGGTTGCAAAATATGCACAACTCTCAAAGAAAACACACAGTCCTTTATGCCACCGTTGCCTTTTTTTGTACAGTCGTTACTGAAGAAGTGTGAACACCAAATGTGTTGTCTTAATGTATTTAAGACATTGCTGGTGAAAGCATAAAAATCCTTACAAAGATGCAGCGCTGCAGTGGAAAATCAAACAAAATCAAACACAAAAGACTGAAAGAGTACATGCCATGTATCAGTAAGCAAAAGCTTAATCTTCACATAGTTCTCTGAAATCACAAGGTATCCAAATGCGTGCAAGGTTTTAAATAAATTGCAGGGAAAAAACAGGGTCTTGCCAGCTTCAATTTTCTTTTGAATGAAATCCACCATAGAGAAAGAAAGGAAACAGGCCGTGGTTCCTTCCTGGTGTCGGCCTCCTCATTAGGTTTTTGTTTCCCTCCTCCAAACTGGTAAATTTAATCCTGTAAGGGAACAATATAAATTATAATAAGCCTCACGAATTGCATGTTTTACTGATTTTTTACTTGGTAAAAAATAGGTTAGTCCAAAGCCGGTTATGAAGACACCAGCTCAGAGCAAAGGACAGACTTCCAAAGCACTTTTAGAGCTGGTACCTCAAACCCACCAATGTTTGCAGGGTGGTTGCCTAACTGAGATATATTAATCTATCTATATTAATGTATCTCTGCCCCAAGTGCTAACCTTCAGAGGTGCCATCAGCACTCACATTCTCCATGGAAATTATAGGCAGCCATAAATAGACAGCTGGCTCTTCTAAAGGTGGTCACACCCTGTCAATGCAAAGGAAGGTTGCTAAATGCTGGCACATTAGCTTCACACAAAGCTTCAGGAGTTTACACGCTCTTTTTGCCCCCTTTCTCGTGGAGTCCCTAGCGATCACCTTCACAGCAATGCTTGCAAATAGTTTATGAAAAGGTCTCCTCAGGTTTGCTTCCCAAGAGTTATCTGAGGGACCTCAAGGCATGTCACGAACACTTCTACAAACACAGCCAGATCATGGAGCTCCTTGTTGCACTGCATTTACACATTCACCTTTATTTCGGTGTTCTTCTATTAACAGGCAGATAACTAAAACCTCTCTTTTCATATACAGAAAGTAAACATTATATCAATAGCTTTGCTTAATGTTGTCTTTCACACTGCTGATGATTCCTGTTTGTATAGGCTTAAAGCTGTGATTGGACTTGCAGGAAGGTACCATGATGTTTTTGAGATTTACACAAAACAGGAGGCAGGCTGAGAATGTGGGAAGCATTACTTAAAGCATCCAACAAATGCAAGAAGAGCCAGGTGAAGGCTAAACGAATGGACTGGAGCCATTGGAAGGATTTTATAATTAACATATTTAACACTTAATAAATGTCCATGTAGAATTCTATGCCAAGTAATAAAGTGACACTTTCTGAGAAATTCTGTAGTTTGCTAAAGTTCAAAATACATTTGTTTTACAAGGTTTTTCAGGACCAAGGATTGTAACTACACACCTGCTACATTTTTAAAATGTAGTTGCAGGAAGACAGTCAGATATGGAGGAATTTTAGCACTTAAGAAAAAGAACGCTGAAATATTCATTGAGCATGGAACTGGTTTGCATTAACATGTCCTAAAACTATTTAAATCAAACTGGATGCAGGTGCCAGTGAATCTAGTCTAGCCCTCATTTCAAAAGCAGGAGAAAAACAAGGCATCAGTTTTGAACTGCAGTTTCAAGCATAAAATTTTAATTGTGGCTTTCATCAAAACAGCCTAATCTCTACACAACATCTAACTTCCATAATTTCCAGGGTTCCTGTCATGGTTCTTGAGAGCTTTTCTTCTGCCCTTTAAGCACCAGAATACCTGAATTGGATTAACAAAAGCCTGTTCTTAATGATGCATAGCAGCATCTTGGGCCCTCTTGGAGCTTGGTCTACCACCTCTTGAGTCCTGCTTGGGTTGTTTCCTAAACGCCTCTGGAGTTTGTGTGGAATGTCTATTCCACATGAAAGTCCCACTTTCCCCAGGGTCTAGGAGCTTGTCTGAAGCGCCAATAAATCTTTTTTCAAGGAATACATTAGAGTTGACCCATTTAGTTTACCCTTCATAAGCTTAAAATAAAAAGCAGTGTTTGGAACATGCAGAGATTCACAACTGCTTAGTGGTGAAACACTGTTGACAATATTCCCCAAATTCCACATTCACCTTCCTTCAAAAACACTTTTAGAGATGACCTCTTTGGAGCCCCTCCTTATAAAGAAGCAACTAGACTCCCAAAGCTCCTTCCAATGTTGAGCTTGCATTTTCCCCTACTGCCACCCACATTACAGCTGTGGAAGGTGGGCTTGCTGTTTGGAAGCCACATCTGCCCAGATCCAGAACTGCTGGCCTGATTTCAGGCTAAGCCCAAATTGCTGGAGTTCCAGAGACTGGCATAAGCGGCAGGAACATCTAGGACAGGTAACAAAATGATCTGAATAGAAAAGCCTCTGGATGGAGGCTTTTCCAGGAGTTACCAAATTGCTCAGGTTTAACACTAACTGCAATTACATTAATCACACAGAACTTTTCCTTTCTATCACTGGACCTCAGGACAATTTCTAAAGGAGGTGAGCATCACACTTCTCCCAGGGTTGTGCTACGATTTCCCAGTGACAATACAACATTTTCCAGCTTCAAGTTTGGCTCTGTAGGCAAAGCTGATGACACATTCTCCAGGGGAGGGCCTGAGCCTGTGAAATGGGGAATACCTTCATCAGAAGCTTAGCACTTCCAGAATCAAGCCCTAGAACGTTAAAAGCTTCCTTAGAAATGAACAAACTGACAGCTGCTACCATTTAACAGGGGAAAAAAAAAACTTTGCATACTGGCAACCACTGCCAGCACCAATGCAGACCAAGGGCAGAACACAGAGAACTAAGAAAGGGTAAGCAGAGGTTACATAAATGTGCATGGGAGATTGCAAAGTTTTTTGCTGAACCCAATTTGTTTTCCTGCTCTGGCTCAGTATAAGGCAGCTGACAGTTTTATGATCGCAACTCCACCAGCTCCAGCTTTGCTGGGTCCTGCTATGCCAGTGCTGCAGCTGGAGTAACTGGTTTCCTGTGAAGCCGAGAGCCTGTGGAACGGTACGGTGGGCAACGCCACCTCCCACCTTCTGCATAGGCTCAAGATTTAGACTAGATCAAAAAGTAAACTCCCTGGAAAAGAAGGTAGTTTGATGCCACACTTCCCCAGTGGTTCTGGCTGGGAAAAGCTAGAAGACATAGTGCAACTGGAACCGGGGAACGGCTGGTGGTCACAGTCTCTCTGAAGCCGTGTTGACACACACAGCCTGCCCGGTTCAGGAAGCCAGCGTGCATGACAGCTCCCTGCTGCTCGGACCAGCACCCTAATGGTCAGGTTGTTCTGAGGCTGAACCCTCAGTTTTGGCTGCCGAGACAATGTGTATAAAATCCTTACGTGATCTTTGACACAGCGAACAAGCCTGGTGGTTAGGAATATACACACCGGGAATATATAACATTTGCATCTGAATCCCTAATTCACTGAATGTTTATTGTCAATTCGAAATGGAGTCAACAGGTGAAATCCCTTTGCCCTCATGGAGTGCCAGCCTTCTCCTGGGCAATGGAGAACAGAGGTCTACCTATCCTGAGGCAGAGGAAGAAACCGAACACGGATATGCCACTTCGCAGAGGAGCGCTGTAATCGCTGTGCTGTGGGACAGGAGACTTCCTTCTCTTCGCTTTGGTTTTGTATAAGATGTGACTCATTGCATCACATCAAATAGACGCCTCCCCTAAACTGGAGGAAGGGTGTCTCTTTGTCCACAGCAGAAAATCCACAATAAAACCAACATGAAATTTTAGATTGGTGTGAACCAATCTTTTTATTAAAAAAGCATTGTTTCTTCAGTGGGGCTCTTGAACTGAAACATCAGTTGTTCACACAACCAAGACCCGAGGCAGGGCCCTCTACACAGTGCTGCCATTCAGTTCCCAGATGGCTTAGTATTCCACCTCTGCATTTTTTAAGATATATTTTAGAAATATCCTTGCTTAGAATTTAATACGTTTTCCTGATCATACAAATCAAAGTTTTGCCTGGTGACTTGGCAGATCGTGTTTATGGCCTCTGGTCACAGCTTTGCTTATAAAAGCGTAAATTGTTAAATGGAATATTTACAACTTGTGATTTCCCAAGAGCAAAATAGGGTTCCTTCAGATCTCCATTAAAAAAAACCAACAACAAAACCTGAAATGTAACAGACTGCCTTAAAAATGAACTTGTATTTTTTCACCACAGGTCCAGGTACTTTTGGTTTTCATGACATCTCTACTAAACCTAATAAAAGATTACAAGAAAGTTAATGATGTGCTTGAAATATCAAGTGACCTAAATCAAGTAACTCAATTGTATGTTTGTTATCTAGAGAAATCATCTGCTGCATACATCCCGTTTGTCCCAGACCCCGAACGGGATAAAATAAGGTGTTAACCCACCTTAAAAATGGCAGAGGCCAACTTCAGAATGCAATAGCTGTTGATGTAACAATGGTTCTAGGAAGGGATACTAAAGCTTGTAATTTAAACATTAATCATGCTCTCAAGACGAGGCAGAGGAGAATGACTAAATCCCAAATATTTTTCTTTATTTTAATTAGTAAAAGAATGACCTTTCCTTTAAAAATGCAAATCACCAATTCACTACATGCTCTTTTTGGCAGCATCAGCATCCTTCTCTAGGTGCTTTTAATTTTTGTATAAATTATCACATAGGGCGGAGCTGTGCTCCTGCAGAGTCCTTAGCATGCAAAGCACACTCAGAGTGCAGGTCTATTTTAGTTGCAGCTGATTTAGCATTTTTATAAGAGTATTCATTCTGACTAAATCCCAAATATTTTTCTTTATTTTAATTAGTAAAAGAATGACCTTTCCTTTAAAAATGCAAATCACCAATTCACTACATGCTCTTTTTGGCAGCATCAGCATCCTTCTCTAGGTGCTTTTAATTTTTGTATAAATTATCACATAGGGCGGAGCTGTGCTCCTGCAGAGTCCTTAGCATGCAAAGCACACTCAGAGTGCAGGTCTATTTTAGTTGCAGCTGATTTAGCATTATTATAAGAGTATTCATTCTACAATGCCAGATTTAAAATAAAAATGTGAGCTGACAACTGGAGATACTGTATTCTCTATGAGCTGAAACATGGGGGTATTTAAGATCATCAACAATATATTCTTTCTGCTTCTCCCTCCACCATACATGCACACACCACAGATACTGTTCATCCTCTCTAAAAAAAGTATACTATTAACAGGTGAATTTTTTCCCCGCACCTTTTATTCCTACCTTTGTTAGAGAAGTCATTTTAAAAAGCCAACCAAACATTATCAATACTATTTGCACTCAGATAATATCTACATGCAACTCGTTGCTATAAATATTAATTAATTGGATC